AAACAAAACAAAACAAAACAGGAAATAACAAGTTTGGTGGGGGTGTGGAGCAGTTGGAATCCTTGTGCACACTTGATGGGATTGTAAAATGGTACAACTGCTATGGAAACCAGTTCCTCAAAAAACGAAAAATAGAACTACCATATGATCAGGAAATTCCACTTCTGAGTATACATCCAAAAGAAATGAAAGCAGGATCTTGAAGAGATATTCACATACATCTATTCACAGCAACATTATTCACAATACACAAGAGATAGAAGTAACCCACATTTCCATTAATGGATGAATGGACAAACAAAATGTGATATATATATAATATATAATAGATGTATTAGCCAGGGTTTTCTAGAAAAAGGATATGTATACTAGAAGATATATTATAGAAATTGGCTCATGCTGATATGGAGGCCTAAAAATTCCAAAATCTGCCATCTGCCAGCTGGAGGACCAGGAAAGCTAGTGGTGTAATTCAGTCCAATTTCAAAGGCCTGAGAACCAATCTGAGTCCAAAAACCCAATACCCAAGAGATCAAGAGAAGATGGATGTCTCAGCTCAAACAGAGAGAGAGAGTAAATTCACCTTCCTTCACCTTTTTCTTCTATTTGGGCACTCAACAGATTGGATGATGCCCACTTACACTGGGGAGGGCCGCCTGCTTCACCGATTCAAATGCTAATCTCTTCTGGAAACACTCTCACAGACACACCCAAAAATAATGTTTTACCCACTATCTGGGCATCTCTTAGCCCAGTCAAGTTGACACATAAAATTGACTAGCACAATTAAATAATAATGCCGCTTTAAAAAGGAAGGAAATCTTGTCACATCATACAATAAGGATAAACCTTGAGGACATTAAGCTAAATGAAATAAGTCAATCACAAAATGAAAAATAACATATGGGTCCATTTACATGAAACACATAAAGTAGTCAAAGTCATACATATAGAAAGTAGAATGGTAATTAAGAGGGGCTGGGGGCAGTGGGCAAAGGGGAGTTGTTGTTTGATGGATATAGTTTCAGTTCTGAAAGATGCTTTTCCCCTAAGATCAGGAACAAGACAGAGATGTCTACTCTTATCACTTCTATTCAAAATTGTACTGCAGGTTCTAGCCAGAGCAATAGGCACGAAAAAGAAATAAGGCACTCAAACTGGAAAGGAAGAATTAAAACTGTCTATGCATGATAGATGACATGAATATTGTTTGTAGAAAGGAATCCACTAAGAAAGCTACTAGGTAAACAAGTTCAGCAAAACTGCAGGATACAAGAGGAATATATAGAAATCAATTGTGTTTCCATACACCAGTAGTAAACATTTAGGAAATAAAATCAAGAAAACAATTTCATTTACAATAGCAGCAAAAAGAATAAAATACTTAAGAATAAATTTAGCAAAAGTAGTGTATGACTTGTGACATCACATGTTTATGACTGGAATACTTAACGTTGTCAAAATGTCAATAATCTCCAAATTGACCTACAGGCTCAACACAATCCCTATCAAAATTCCAGCTGCCCTGAAACTAATGCAATATTGTAAATCAACTATACCTCAGTTTTTAAAAATTCCAGCTGCCTTTTTTTAGTGTTTGTGCAGAAACTGACAAGTTGACTGTAAAATTCGTATGGGAATGCAAGGAACCCAGAATGGCCAAAACAATCTTGAAAAAGAAGAAAAAAGTTGAAGGACCCACACTTTTCAATTTTAAAACTAACTGAACTAATCAAAACTAATCAAGATAGGATGGTACTGGCATAAGAATAGACATATGGGTTCAATGGAATAGAATTGAGTATCCAGATATAAAACCTTATATTTAGGTCAACTGATTTCTTGAGAAGGGTGCTAAGACCCTTCCTATTGAGGAAAGAATAGTCTTTTCAACAAATGGTGCTAACTGCAAATCCACAGACAAAAGTAAAAATTGGATGCCTACTTCACACCATACAGAAAAATTAACTGAGAATCAACATAAGAGTAAATATTTATGACTTTGAGTTAGGTAATAATATTTCCTTAGATATGACACCAAAAGTGGAACACCCAAGGCAGATAAATTGGACTTCATCAAGATGAAAAACTGTGCTGCAAACAATATAATCAAGAAAGTGAAAAGACAATCCACAGGATGGGAAATAATATTTGCAGATCATAGATCGAGATCTGATAAAGGGCTTGTATCATCAAGATTAAAAACTTTTCCCCTAAGAAAGATGCTATTAGGAGAAAGAAAACACAATCCACAGGCTAGGTGAAAATCTTTGCAAAGCATATGTCTGGATGAACTGCTTGTATCTAAAACATATAAAGAACTCTCAAAACACAGCAACAGGCAAACAACCCAATTTAAAAAGGGCAAAAAAATATAAAGAGACACCTCACAAACATACATCGATGGCAAATAACCACATGAAAAGATGCTCAGCATTAGTCATTAAGGGAAATGCAAATTAAAACAATAATGAGATACCATTATGCACCTATAAGCGTAACTAAAATTAAAAAGACTGATCATTCTAAGTGTTGACAAAGATGTCCCAAACTGGGACTCTCATATACTGCTGATGCGAAAAGTAAAATTGTACAACCACTTTGAAATACTGTTTGCTAGCTTCCTTAAAAGTTAAACATACATCCACCCATATGATCCAGCCATCCCACTCCTAGATATTTACCCAAGGGAAACAAAAGCTTATGTTCATAGAAAGGCTTATGTACATGCATGTTTTATTTGTAATGGCCAAAAGTAGGTAGCAATTCAAAAGTCCATCAACAGGCAGTTGGATAAACAAATCATGGTGTGTTCATATGATGGAATACTACTTATTAATAAGGAGGAATGAACTATTGATATATGTGCTAACATGGATAAATTTCAAAATAATTACACTAGGTGAGAAAAGCCAGACAAAAAGATATATATATAGTAATTCCATATATATATAGGAAATACAAACTAATCTATGGTTACAAGCAGATCCGTGTTTTGAAGGGGATGGGTGGGAGAGGCAGGAGGAAGAGATTATGAAGAGGCACATGGGTATGATGTGAGTCTAATGGATACATTCACCATCTAGATTATGATGTGGTTTCTTGAGTGTTCATATATCAAAACATCAAATTGTACAATTTAAATATTTGTATATTATTGTATGTCAACTAAATCTCAATAAAGCTAATACATACATCATATACATCTACATAGACACACACATAGACACACATCCATACATATCCCAGTTAATGAGGCTTTTAACAATGAGATTGTGAGTGTTTTAACACTTCCCCAACTCCCGTTCCAGCCTCAATCTGTTTGACAAAGGGTGTGAGCCCTTTATGTTGCTGGGTATTAAGAAATGTGATCTCATGTCGGCAGAATACCTCTGGCTTTCACACTTGACCTCCCAAGAAGAGATGTCAGGCCTCAGACACTAGCAGGTATATCCCAGGACTTGCCACAACACTCTCTCAGTCTTCAGGACCACATGGCTCATAGGTGGTCTCAAGGACTTCCCTGCCCACCCAGTGGCCTGCTGCAGCCCAGTTCTGGGACTTCTGTGGGAGAAGACAGGAGAGGACTGGGGGGGTCACAGAGATAAAGTGTTTGAGGACTTACCTCCAAGGAGCTCACAGTTGGGTAGGAGAGAAGACCCAGAAGCCACAACTACAGTACTACAGTACTCCCAATTCAGAAGACTGCTAGATGTGCCTTCCCACGGGAACCCAGAGCTGGACAGCTGGATCAGGGGGATGATGGATGAATGGGAGTAGCAAGGCAGACAGTGAGGGAAGGGCATTCCAGGCAAAGGAAGAGCATTTAGGAAAGCTTGCAGTAGCCCAATGCATTCTAGGAACTCCAAGTAATTTCACCCTCGAGTGAAGGCTAAAAACCTTCAACCCACAAGGTAGCCCAGCATTGGTCTCTTCTTCTCCCCTCCATTCCATCCTCAATATTGTTGCCAGATTATCTTTCTAAAAATAATTTGGCTCACCCGATTTAAAATATCTGTTGGCTCCCTATGACCTACAGAACAAAGCCCCAAACCTTTCCCTTGACATTCAAGGCTCTTCACAATTGTGCCCCGGTCAACTTCCCAACTCTTCTCCCCACCACCATCCTCAAGCCCCTGATCCTTTGTTATAGCCACTGTGACTGGTCTCCTTTTCTCCAAGCAGGCCGTTCACATTCTGACCTCTGTCCTTCAGCCTTGGCTCAGACTGCTCCCTCTGCATGGAATGTTCTAATCCCCTTCTTTGCTAACTCCTTCTCATCTTCCATGACCAACTCAGGACACCTCCACCAGAATGTGGAACTTCCAAGGCAGAAGTTTGAGGCTGTACCCCTAGTGCTTAGAACTCAGTCTGTTATTTTTTTGTTGAATAATTAATTAGTCGTGTAAAAAACAGAAAAAACTTCCCAGGGAGAGATATAGTTCAGTGGTAGAGCACATGCTTAACAAGCACGAGGTCCTGGGTTCAATCCCTAGTACCGCTAAAAAAAATTGGTGAACTTCATCAAAATTTTTAAAAACTTAAATAAAAAATTTTAAAAATATATAAAATCTTCACTGAGAATCCCATTAGGCACCCACTCTCACTGCCCTCCGTGCTCCCCTCACAACTTGTCCATGTTTTGTTAGAGCTTTTTGAGGCAGGCATCATTTTTTATGCTCATTTCTCTTTCTTCAGAGTCTAACTCTTGACATTATAGGAGGTGCTGGGTATCTGTTTGTTGAATGAATGAATGATCAGGCATGTCATTTCGTCTTAGATATTTTGTGAGCCCTCCAGGCCAGGCCCAGTGTCTTTGCCTCTATCCTTAGCTCAGGTCTCCCTCCAGTGTCCAGGGCTGGCTGCTGCCTAGAGCCCTGCCATCCAGGCACCACCTTCACTGTCCCTTACCCCCGCCCTGGGGCCAAAGGAGCTCTGGAGACGGCCCCGCCCACAGCCGGGGTTGGAGGGCGGAGGCAACGCCCACCTGGCAGGGCTGCCTGGGATTGGTGCGGTCGCCGCCAGGAGGCGGGGACAGCGCCGGGCTGCCGATGATCTCCGGGCCAGAAAAGCCCAGCTGGGTGGCTCGCGAGAGGCTCACGGCGCTGCCAGGAGGTGGTGAGTGCGCGGCGGCCGGGCGGGAGGGACAGGAGGGAGCGGAGGACGCAGAGGACCGGGACGCGCCCTCTAGGCGCTGTCCACCCCCGCCCCCCCTATTTCCCCGAGCGCCGTGTCCCACCCCGGAGGCCGAGGAGGTCGTCAGTCCCATCCTGTCTTCCAGACCCGGAGGACCAAGACTCCCGGACGACGAGGAACCGCCCAACATGGCATCGGAGGTGAGTGGGACCTCGGGGGCGCTGGTCCTCCAAACGAGGGGGAGGGGCGCCCTGGGGGCCAGCGGGGGCCTAGACCTGAGCACGCGATCTCCCCAAGCCAGACCTGCCGCCCGCCGCCCTGCTGGTAATTTTCCTCGCTGGCTCCAGGCGGTGGGTACCCACTGGCCCACCTGCCAGAGCCCGGAAGAAAACTTTGCTTCGACTTCCCGGTGTCCCCATCACCGTCTGCTCTTCCCCCCTTCCCTACCCCTCCCCAGGCGGTCTGTGTGGCAAACTCACCAACCCACACTACCGGGGAAGGTGGCCCTGACCTGACCCCCCACCCCCACGACCTGATAGTCCTCTAGGCCCCGGGGAAGGGTGCTGTCCACTCATTCAGCCCCCTCACCTCTTCGTTCCTTCCTTCCCCTGTGTCCTCCTGTCAGCCCCACCCTGTGCCCCTCACCTGCACTTTTCCCTGTGTGGCAGAGTCCATATGACTTTTGTGTGTGTTAAGAGCCAGGAGGTAGGGGAATGTGCCCTGTGGCCCCAGTGCCTGGTGGCTTCCTGTCTCACTGGTCTCTCTCCCTCAGAGCCTGGGTTCTCTCCTGACCTCCGAGTGGCAGGAGTCCGAGGCACAGGCTCCTTTCCTTGGGCCTCAGTTGATTTTCCTGGTAGATGGGGATAATAGCTGAATGTCTGCCTTTGTAAGGTACTGGATCATGAGGTCATTGCTTTGACCCCTTCAAGTTGAAGGGGCTGTTTGCTTGATGCCAATGAAGGGAACCCTGGGCCAGGGAAACAGGAGGTCTGGGTTCCTGTCCCTTCTGGCCCTCATTAGCTGGCAAGTCACTTCCTCTCTGGGACACAGTTTGTTCATCTGAATAAATGGGTTATGACTGCCTGCTCTGCTAGCTTCTGGGCCATGGTGGAGGGCCTGTGGCAGGGCCTGGACTTGGAAGCCAAACAGTCTTGGTTTCTGAAGCAGTCACTCCACCTCCTCAAACCTCTCTTCCTCATTTGTAAAATAGGGGTGACAGTGCCCACCTCATAGGAGGGTGTAATAGCATCTGAAGAAGGCCTAGCACAGGGCCAACCGATTGTAGGTGCTCAATAAGTGGTGGTTAATGACACTAAGAGTGACGACACTGGTATTTCCCAGGTGTGATCTAAATTGGTTGTTGCTCTCTCAGCCCAGCCCAACCCAGTGTCCCTGTCCCCTTGCCACAAAGGGATCTTTTCAGCTCAGATGTGCCCTGGCTTATAGCAGTGCCCTCTCCTACCACCTTGCCCCTCCCTCAGTGCCCAGGTGGTGGCACATCCTCCTGGGGTCCTTTTAAACCTACCTGTGGGGTAGGAGCTTGGCTCCAATGTGGAGAGAGCTGCCTTCAGGAGACCAAGGCACCAGGCGACCTCTGCTTGCCCTAGGCCATCCTGTGGTTTGGACTAATTGGTTTTGGCTGTAGCCCCGCTTGTTAAATAGTTGTTATTACTAACAACCTGTGGAGGGAGTCCAGAAGCCTGCTGGGGGAGGTGAGGTCCTAGCTGAAGGGAGCCCTGGCTCCCCATCCTGACTGGCTGGCCCTGGCCCTCTGTTACCAGTGGTCAGGGCCAGGGCCCCACGTGGCGTTTTGCTGGCAGTCAAGGCTTGGTGGGGCAGCAGAGGAGAGAGGGGTGGGTCCAGCTGAAAAGGCTGAGGAGAGGCAGAGGCTGCATCTGGAGGGCAGAGTCCTTCGGCTGCCAAGGCTGCTGGGCATGGAGGGGTCAGCTCAGAGCCTAGGGCCAGAGCATGGTGGAGGTCCCTGTGGTGCACACGAGAACCAGGAGTGGAGCTAAGGCACACCCTGACCCTGGCAGCCCTTGACCCCTCCCTCAGTAATACCTGGAATTTACTGAGTACCAGGCACTGTGCTGTGTATGCAATTAGCTTAATCTAATTGATGCTCACAACAACGCCATCGGTCAGTACTATTATTATCCCTATTTTATAGGCGGGCAACCATGAGGGTTAGAGGTTATATAACATTCCCACAGTCAGCTGGTTAACAGAGGTCTGGGAGACAGAGGAGAACTTACCCTCCCAGTGGCCACTGTAAACTGCCCCTCCACAGAAAAGATGCCAGTGAAGTAACATGCCCACCTCCACCCAGCACACTTTCCTCCCGTCTTTGGCACACTGGGCGCTCAGACTGCCCCTCAGGTCTCCTGTGCCCCCTCCCCCATCTGTCCCAGGCCCCGACCTTTGCCCTCTTTCAAAACAGTGGTGTCTCTGTCCCATCCCTCTGCCCTTGGCTCTTGAGGAGCAGAGGGTCAGAGACCTCCCAGATGGCTAATGATAACTGATGCGTAAGGGGTGCTCTCCTGAGGAGTGGTAGGGGTTGGGACCTTAGGCCCCACCCGAAATGCAGGTAACCTGAGACTGATGGGGCCCCTCAGGTGCCTCCCTGCCTGTCCCTGCAGCACAACTTCAGAAAAGCAAAGCCAGCAGAGAGGCCCTGGTGGAATGTGGGGTTTAGAGCACGGGCTCTGACTTCAGGCTGCAGGGCTGCAGTCCTGGCTTTGCCACTCTCACCAAAGGCAAGGGCGAGGGCAGGGCTCAGGGCTGCTCCGGGCCTTGGTTTCCCTCTCTCTGAAGCAGGATCGTACTGCTACTTCAGAGGGTTGCTGTCTGTGCATGCCAAGCAATTAGAAGGGCACCTGGCACACGGTGAGAACGTAGCACGTGTTAGCCAGAGGTATCATCATTACCCCTGGTGCCGCGGACCAGCGTTCACACTCTGGATTCTAGTGCCACTTCTCACCTTGGTCAGTGGCAGGAAAGGTCCTAGAAGTTCTGCTGTGGTCTCAGGGGTGCCCTGTACCCTGCCACCATCTCCCTGGAGCTGTGCCACATGGTGGGAAAGAACCCTAACTCCAGTATCCAGTCAGATTCCCATGTTCACTCCCTGAGTGGGTCTGGGCAAGTTCCTGATGCTCTCTGAGCCTCAGTTTCCTGATCTCTCCAGTGAGAATAACCCTGCCCGCTGGCTCCCATGCCATGAGACTTGATAACTCTCCTGGGGGCCCTTTGTGAGAAGCACTGTTCTCAAGGCGGGAGGAGATTAATTGCTTCTGCTCTCCTGGCCAGAGTGGGAAGCTGTGGGGTGGCCGGTTTGTGGGAGCAGTGGACCCCATCATGGAGAAGTTCAACGCGTCCATCGCCTATGACCAGCACCTATGGGAGATGGACGTGCAGGGCAGCAAGGCCTACAGCGGGGCCTGGAGAAGGCGGGGCTCCTCACCAAGGCCGAGATGGACCAGATACTCCAGGGCCTGGACAAGGTACTCTCCATGCCCCAAGGCCCCCCCGAGGGCCCCTCCCTGTCACCCCAGGCTTTCACCAAATCCCCAAGCACGACGTCATCCTAGCCTGTCCTTTCCTCTGTAGTGATTATACGCCTAGAAGTGCCCTTTAACCATGCATTGTGCTGACTGGCTCTCTTCATCCCTAATGGCGCCCGGTCCCATGGCTCCTGAGCAAAGGTGCACCGGGCCTGAGATGCTCCCTCAGGGGATGGGGGCCACAGAGGCCCCTCCTGTGGAGCACAGTCAGCACTCAGCTGCCGACTCCTGCCCCCCTGTGTGGGCCATCTGCTGCAGGTAGCTGAGGAGTGGGCCCAGGGTACCTTCAAACTAAACCCCAACGACGAGGACATCCACACAGCCAACGAGCGGCGTCTGAAGGTGCGACCCCATCCCAATCCCTCCCCTCTCTGCCTTGCTCTGGGCCACTGTGAGCATCCACACCATCATTGTTCCCTTCATCACTGGGACTTCAACAGGAGGCCTCAGTGGAGATAGCCAAGACTTGGGCAGCACCAGAGGACCCTGGGGCAGGGAGGGCGGGCCACGAGCTGGGGAGGAAACGCACCCTGCCTAAGCTGAGCCCACTGGGCTGTGACCCCAACTGCCTGCCTCCCTCTACCCCAGGAGCTCATCGGTGAAACTGCAGGGAAGCTACACACAGGACGAAGCCGGAATGACCAGGTGCTGCCAGCCCCTCCTCCTGCCCCCACCTTCCCAACTTTGCGGAGGCCAGGCAGCAGAGTTAGCGCTCAGCAGCTGTCCTGGCTCCGCAGGGAAGCAACACATCTGTGCCCTGAGTGCCACCTCCTCCTCCCCACAGGTAGTCACAGACCTCAGGCTGTGGATGCGACAGAACTGCTCCATGCTCTCTGCCCTCCTCTGGGAGCTCATCAGAACCATGGTGGATCGGGCGGAGGCGTGAGTCCCTGGGGACACCAGATGGCAGAGAGGGGCAAGAGGGTGGCCAGGGTCTCCACTCCTGAGACAGGCAGCCTGAATGCCAGACCTAGGTGTCCGGGGTGAAGAGGGTGGGGGAGCCAGGCTCTGGGTGTACGGGGGTCCCAGAACTCCTGGACCAAGGGAGGCAGAGCAGCCAGGAGTGGGGCATTTCCTGCAGCACCCCCTCCCCAGCCAGCCTAGCTCAGCAAGCAGGGCAAGTTCATACTTCAGGGCCTCACAGGCAGGAGCTTAGGCACGAGGCTGACACCCTTAGGCCTAAGGAAAGGGGCTGGCTGGCCTAGGGCAGCCGGAGAGTCACTCCTCACCATGCTGGTGCCCTACATCCCCCATCCTCACTGGCATGGCTGACAAAGAGCCGGGGGCTGCCTCCCGCTGGCCTCATCCCAAGCTTCAGCTTCTGTGACATGACTGCTGAGAAGTCCCTATTTGGTGTCAGAGACAGGGTTGACCCCTCTCCTTTTCCAGCTCCCTGTGACCCAATTCACTGACTTCACCGCTGGGGGAAAACAAGGGCCCAAGAACTGTCATCCTAGGCGGGTGGTGTTGGTAGAAATAGGGAGGCACTGCTATTGGGTACTGGGTTCCTTTCTTGGGGTGATGAAAATGTTCTAAAGTTGATGTGGTGATGGTTATGCACTAAGTGTATGCTTTAAATGGTTGATTTCTATGTGAATTATATCTCAATAAAGCTGTTTATTTAAAAAAAAAACTCAGAACCATCACCCAGAGCCCCTCTGCCTCTGCCCTGCCAACTTAAAGTGCCACAGCTATTCTGGGCTCCTCCAGAGCTTCTCTCGTGCTCACAGGCTCGGTCCCTCATGGCCCGGTGATACCTGCCGTGCGCCTTCTCCCCTGCCCTAGCGCTGCTCAGATCTGCTGCCAAGGTACAGAGGTCCAAGCTGAAGGCATAATCTACAACTTGGTCCTACGCTTACCCCCTAGAGGCCCCAGGGTCCTGGCCCATCCCTTGTATCACACTTTCCCCCTTCCCAACTCTTCCCTCACACCATGTTTGTTCCCAGGAGGTCACTTGGTCCCTTGTGCAGGCAGATCCTTGGTGGGCCTGCCCTGCTCTCCTCTCGAGGGGCCCAGGCCCGTAGGGGCCCAGGTGTCACAGGCAGGCCTCACCTGAACCTCCTGAGCCCCTCAGGCCCCTGCCCCTACTCTTCCCCCCACAGGGAATGGGACGTCCTCTTCCCGGGGTACACACACCTGCAGAGGGCTCAGCCCATCCGCTGGAGCCACTGGATCCTGAGGTGAGCAGGGCGTGACAGAGGAGCTGTGATGGAGGGAAGGAGCTGGGGCTGCCCTGACCCTCCTGCCTCCTGGCTTCCCACAGCCATGCTGTGGCACTGACCAGAGACTCTGAGAGGCTGCTGGAGGTGCAGAAGAGGATCAACGTCCTGCCTCTGGGGAGGTGAGCGGGGCCCCAGTGCTCCAGGGTAGGGGGTAGGGGGCTGCTGCCACATAGTGGGCATAGTCTCTGGGGTTCAACAGAATAGGAGGAGCCAGGAAGGACAGAGGGACAGAAAGCCAGGCAATCAGCCTCCCTGTCCAGGGTGGGAGGGGCACCACACATGGCCCCTCAGCTCCAAGATGGGGACAATGAATGTGTCAGAGCCAGGCCAGAGCTCTCCAGGGAGGCTCCAGAGAGCCAGCCAGCTGCTCACAGCCTGCCATCTCCCCCACATGGGGACAAGTATCGGGCACCCAAGCTGACCAGGCCATAGCCCTGGCGACCAGAGCTTGGCATGGGTGTGCAAGAGTGTGTGTGTGCTGGGGCTGGCCTGCCAAGAGCCCTGATCACTCAGAAGCCCCCATCTCTGCAGCGGGGCCATTGCAGGCAATCCTCTGGGTGTGGACCGGGAGCTGCTCCGAGCAGGTAAGGCGCCCACTCTCAGCACCCGCCAGGTCCCACAGACACATGTAGAGAGGGTGGGGGCCTGGGTGAAATTTCAGCTTATTATCTGTGGACAGTGAGGCTAGAGCAGCAAAGGAAGGCCCGTGGTAGGGGCGCATGGTGCTGGGAAGCTCAGGGCTCCCGCCTGCCTCCTGGGACCTGTACAAGGGACCACCCCCCAACCTCCTGCCCCTCCTACTCCTCCTCTCCCTCAGGGGTCCAGGGGGACATGGCTGGGAAACCTGGTTTGGGGTAGAGAAGGCCCCTCCTTGCCCTCCAGCTCAGCCCTCATGCCTTGCCCTTTCCCCTTGTCCAGAGCTGAACTTTGGGTCCATCACTCTCAACAGCATGGATGCCACCAGTGAGCGAGACTTTGTGGGTGAGTCTGGGAGCCACTCATACTCCAGGGCCAGGCTCTGCACTGTGTGCAACCTTTGTCCCCCAGCTTTGGCTCCTTTCCAGCTTCCTCCCCCTCAACCCCCTGTATGACCCACCTGGAGCTTCTCCAGGCTGGGTGAGGGGCAAGAGAGGCCTGCCTGGTGACCTCCCTTTCCTCCCACAAGCTGAGTTCCTGTTCTGGGCTTCGCTGTGCATGACCCACCTCAGCAGAATGGCTGAGGATCTCATCCTCTACGGCACCAAGGAATTCAACTTTGTGCAGCTCTCAGATGCCTATAGGTAAGGCTGCGCCCTGCCCTACACCCACCAGCTCTGTGCCCACCAGCATGGCTTCCTTCCTCCCCACCCCAACCTGGGGCAGACCCACTCAGCCGACCAGCCCAGGGGCAGGGGAGCCCCTTCAGTTGCAGCATCTCTGTCTCCAGCACCGGAAGCAGCCTGATGCCCCAGAAGAAAAACCCAGACAGCCTGGAGCTGATCCGGAGCAAGGCGGGGCGAGTGTTTGGGCGGGTGAGCAAGGGCAGGGAGGTGAGGCAAGGCCCCTGCGCTGACCCAGACGGTCCTGAGGGAACTTCCAGGAAGGCCCCGAGATCCAGCCTCCTGATCCTCACTCTCCCTGCAGTGTGCTGGGCTCCTGATGACACTCAAGGGGCTTCCAAGCACCTACAACAAGGACTTACAGGTGCGAGTCTAGGGACTGTGTGGGAGGGGCCCACCAGCACATACACCACATACCAGTTCTCGGGGACCTGGCACATCCAGGCTGGGGTCCCACAGAATTCCCACCTCCCATCCTGTGCACCCAGCCCTCGGCCACCCTGAGAGCTCCCTCTGTATGAGGTGTAGGAGGTGTGAGTGTTCCCGGTGGGAGGCAGTGGGGAGGCCTCAGTGGGGACTGGGCTGCTGGGCGCTTACCTCCTGCCACGTGCCTCCCAGGAGGACAAGGAAGCCGTGTTTGAAGTGTCAGACACCATGAGCGCCGTCCTCCAGGTGGCCACTGGCGTCATCTCTACGCTGCAGGCAAGACACGCCTCTTCTCTGGGCTCCTAAACCCAGGGGTGGGCAAGCCAGGAGGGTGATCTTAAGAGGAAGCAAGTGAGGGTGGTCCAGAGACCCTGAGGCAGGGGGACAGAATCTATGCTCATTCATGCTGTGGGAACAGTGAAAACACCAACTGAAGCTGCCGCAGTAGAATGCCAGTGGGTTAGACCCAAGGGGCCCCATCAACTGGCCCGACCAGATTTCTTTTTAACCATTTATGATGTGAACTTTCAGTAGACGACAGCTGAGTGTGTAACGAACCCCTCTGTCCCAACACCCAGCTTCAAAACAGTCAACTTACGGCCATTGTTGGGTTGTCAGCCATCTATACCCATTATGCCCCCTACTCCTACTCCATTATTTTTACACAAAGCCCCCTCATCATAGCATTGCATTCCTAAATAGTTCAGGATGTGTCTCTAAAGCAGTGGTTCTCAAAGTGTGGTCCCGGGATCAGCAGCATCAGCATCACCTGAGAACTCCCAGGCCCCACTCCAGACCTGCGGGAATCAGAGGCCCTGGGTTAGGCCACAGTGATCTGTATTTGTAATAAATCCTCCAGGTGATTCTGATGCATGCTAAAGATAAGGACACTTTGAAAATGCCAAGACAACCCAGTAGCACACCTGATCAGTATCAATAATTATGAAAAGGTGACTGGAGCAGAAAGTGCAGAACAGGGTGGGTAAGAGTGTCTGCCTGAGGCAGGGGACATCCTGGCTGAGGGGTAGGCCTTGGGCTGGCAGCTCCGGGACCACGGGTCCCCAGGATTCACTGCTCGCTTGGCCTGCGCCCCCAGATTCACCGTGAGAACATGGCCCAGGCCCTTAGTCCTGACATGCTGGCCACTGACCTTGCCTACTACCTAGTCCGCAAAGGGGTAAGTGTAGGGCAGCCAGGGTGGAGGGTGGGGGGGGGGAGCAATGTTCCCCAGGCCGGGGATGGGGGTGGATGTGGGGATTGGGGTGGTCAGGGAGGGTGTGGGTGCTCCTCATGGAACAGAGAGCTGAGGAAGCCTGCGTCAGCACCGCCCTCCACCCCGACGTCCCCAGATGCCATTCCGCCAGGCCCATGAGGCCTCCGGGAAAGCTGTGTTCATGGCGGAGACCAAGGGGGTCGCCCTCAACCAGCTGTCGCTGCAGGAGCTCCAGACCATCAGGTGTGGCCCCCTCTCCTCCTTCGGCCTCCCAGGAGGCAAGCCCCAGCCCCCGAGGCCACGATGGCCCAGCTGCCCCAGCCCACCTCCTCCTTTCCCCCAGCCCCCTGTTCTCGGGCGACGTGAGCCACGTGTGGGACTACGGACACAGCGTGGAGCAGTACACCGCCCTGGGGGGCACCGCGCGCTCCAGCGTCGACTGGCAGATCGGCCAAGTGCGAGCGCTCCTACGGGCACAGCAGGCCTAGAGTCCTCCCCGCCCCGCCCCCAAATAAAGTGGGCCCGAGACGAGGCTCTGCGTGTTTCCCCTCAGCCTGCCTCCCTCAGCGGCGGCGGGCTTTCGGGGATCTGTTAAGCAGGCGGTGGGGGTCATCAAGGAAGGGGAGGAACTGGGCTGGCAGAGCGAGAGTCACGGTAGGGAAGGGAGGAGGGGGCTCTCATCAGAGCCCCTGCCCTGCGCAGGCCCCACCCCTCCGCCGCGGGGCATCGCAGTGATCTCCTTCGTCAGGGGCATCTTGGGAGCCCTGGTGGGACAGGATGGGCTTGGTTAACCCAGTCAGCCCCTGTCCATCCCCCTTCTTTCCAGGCTCCTTCCCAGGCTCCCCTGCTCACATCCTCCCCTCACTTAATCCACCCTTCCCTGGACCATCAGGCACTATTAGCAGGTGTCCTGTACCCTCTGAGGGGAGCGGTACATTTGGTGGTAAAGTCAGTCACCCGGGTGGCTAGTGTGTGATGCCAGGCACTAGGTGAGCTTCATACAGAGGTAAAGGAGACGTTTCCTCTCCCCTGGAGAGTAATGTACAGACAAATTCTCAGGCACTAACCCTGAGGCGAGGGCCACTGATGGGGGTGGTGCAGAGGGGCCTGCCCATGTGCAGTCGAGGGAGGGACCCTCACACCGAGTCTGCAAAGAGCCTGAGGCCGGGCCTGGCATGTGGTAAGTGCTCAGTAACAGTGAACCCCCAGAGCCAGCAGAGATACAGAGAACTCTTGTACACAAATCTCACCAAAATCCTGATAATAAGACAAATTTCAGACATTTCTTAACGACAAAGATAAACAAGCCAAACACAAGGAAGTATGAACAACACCTCCTAAGTGATTAAGACTGTGAACTAAAGAACCAAAACTCCAGCAGCGGGGACACTACACCAAATTCCCAAAAGGGTCAAAGCGATGGGTCACAGGTGGAATCTTCTAGAGTAGTGATTCTCAAAGTGTGGTTCCTGACCACTATCATCATCGTCTTCAAACTTGTTGAAAAGCAAATTTTTAGTCCCCACCAAGACCTACTAAATCAGATTCCCGATGGGGCCCAGCAATCTGTTTTCACAAACCCTTCAGGTGATCCTGATGTGGGCTCAGGATTTGCGAATCACTGATCTTGAGAACCTTGTTACACAAAGTTGCTGCAGACCAGCAACATCTGCCTCAACTGGGTCCTGCCCTGACCTACTGATTCAGAATCTGCATTTTAACAAACTCCCCGGGCATCTCTTGTGTGCATTTAGAGTTAGAAATGCTGATCTATCGATAAACATCGAGGACTTACTGTCTAGCACAGGGGACTATCTTAAACATCTTGTAATATCTTGTAACAGTAAAGAATCTGAAAAAATACATATGTATATAACTAAATCACTTTGCTGTACATCTGAAACTAACACAATATTATAAATCAATCCTGCTTCAATAAAAAAGAAAACATAAGTTTAAAAAAAACAGGGGGGTCAAACAGAAACAAAACTGTAGGACTAAAAAAAAGTGCTGATCCAGAGAATGCCTAAATATCTAGTCTCAGAAATGAAGGGGGGTTGTGCCTGATGCCCTATGGCATATGATCTGAAACCTCTCCTAGCTTACCTTTAATTGGTATTTTGGGGACATGTTCACTCAGTCAGTTAAGATTATACTCATTAATGCTGTCATCCATCCTACATTTTTCCAAAAGCAGGTCACAAAAGGCTTTTTCAAATAACTTGCTGAAATCCAGATAGCCTCTGTTAGAGCACTCCTTCACCCAGGACTAAAAGGGACCAAGGATGTTATCAAGAGTTTTGATAAAAGTTTTGGATAAAAGATCAGTTTATCAAAAAAGGGAATGAAGTTAAGTTTTATAGAATTTGTATTTAGGTGAAACTATACGGGGGTCCCAGTGTCTACCAATTTATTTTCTAAGTGCATATTATCCATTCTTTTTATTCATTCATTCCTTTATTTTCTACAACAGCTTTATTGAGCCATAATTCACATGTCATGAAACACAACCTTTTCAAGTGTTCAGCTTAACAGTTTTTAGTGTGTTCACAGAGTTGTGCGATTATCACCCCAAAAAGAAGCCCATAAGAAACTTTGTACTTCAAAGTAAAAAAGACATCCACAGAATGGATATTTGTAAATCATATACCTGATAAGGATCTAGTATCCAGAATATAAAAAGAACGCATAACTCAATCATAAAAAGACAACCCAATTAAAAATGGGTAAAATATCTGAATAGACATTTCTCCAAAGAATATATACAACACATGAAAATATATTCAATATCATTAATCAGGAAATGCAGACCAAAACCAAAATGGGACATTACTTCATTCCCACTAGGATGTGAGTTAATTTTTGTATGTAGTGTGAAGAAGGGGCCCAACTTCATTTCTTTTCCATGTGGAAATCCATTTGTCTCATCACCATTTGTTGAGAAGACTGTTTGTATCCAATTGAATTGTTTGGGCATCCTTGTCAAAAATCAGCTGACCAATACAAGTGAATTGTATGGTATGTAAATTATACCTCAATAAAGCTGATGCCCCTCCAAAAAATTAATTGATTATTCTTTTGTTTTTAACAAAAAAGTATTTTGTACATGTGTCAGATGCTGTGCTAAGGCTCACTAGTCAACTTAGAGTTTGTGTGATTCACCCTGTTTCCATTCTTGGGAACTTCATGGTCCTTGCAGCCTACTCTGGCTCCCAGCAGCAACCACATTACCTGTGGTAATTCTGCAAAATCATCAACTTGTTCTCAGTTACCCCAGTCTCTTACCAGCTCCTGCGGCCATCTGAATGTACAAGGTTGGGCTTATAAGCTCAGCAAACATTTAGTTTTTCAGTTATTCTTGCTTAGCTTTCCCCTGAGCAGCTAATCCAAAGCTTTCATATCTTCTTCAAGCTCTCAGCCTGATCCAAAGATCTCCCCTAAATCCCTGGGAACTATGAATCTACTTCCTGTCTCTGTAGACTTATCTGTTTGACTTGCAAATAAGTGGAATCACATCATATGTGGCCCTCTGTGCCTGGCTTCTGTCACTTTATTTATCCATGTTGTAGCATGTATCAGAACTTCATTCCTCTTTATGGCTGAATAATACTCCATTGCATGGACATACCACATTCATCAGTTGATGGAAATTTGAATTGTTTACATTTTTCACTATTGTGAATAGTGCTGCTAAGAACATTAAAATACAAGTTTAACAAAAAACCTCTTAATAATGAAATCCTCTTCAGCCCTTCCCCTACTTGACTTTTCTGAGATTCCTGACACTGTTGACCATTACTTCAAGAAAACTTTTCTTTTAAAAAAAATAAAGCACAATATGCCACAATTTTAAAAATAATAACATTAAAAGGATTACATAGCATGACCAAGTGGGACTTCCCCTAGAATGCAAGAATGGTTCAACATACAAAAATCAATCAATGTAACATACTACAATAACAGAATGAAGGGGAAAGAAAACCACATAAATACCAATTGATGCATAAAAAGTATCTGCAAAAATTCAACATCTTTTCATGATAAAAATACTCAACAAACTAGGAACAGAAGGAAACTAACTCAGCATAATACAAGCCACATATAAAAAATCTACAGCAAATATCACACTCAATGGTGAAAGATGGAAAGTTTTTCCTCTGAGATCATGAACAAGATAAGGATGCCCACTCTTGCCAATCTTATTTAACATAGTACTGGAAGTCCTAACCAGAGCAATCAGACAGGAAAAAGAAAAGGCATCCAAATTGGAAAAGGAGAAATAAAAGTATCTCTGTTTACACACATTATGATCTTATATGTAGAAAACCCTAAAGATTCCACATACACTCACACAAAAACCTGTTACACCTAATAAACAAATTCAGCAAAGTAGCTAGGTACAAAGCAACCCACAAGAATCAGCTGCATTTCCATACACTAACAATGAACAATCCAGAAAGGAAATTATGAAAATAATTCCACTTACAATAGCATCAAAGAGAATAAGACATTTAGGAGTTAACCAAAGAGGTGAAAAACTTATACCGTAAAAACTATCAAACATTGCTGAAAGAAATTAAAGAAGACATAAATAAATGTAAAGACATCCATGTTCACGGACCCTACATGATCTATAGGTTTAATTCAATGCCTATCAAAATCCCAGTGATATTTTTAACAGAAATAGAAAATCCCATCATAAAATTCATAATGGAGTCCCAAGGGACACTGAATAGCCAAACAATTCTGAAAAATATGAACAAAGCTGGAGGTCTCAAACCTTCTGATATCAAAACTTACTATAAACCTACTGTAATCAAAACAGTGTGTTGAAAGATGACTGGCATAAAGACAGGCATCTAGAGAAATGGAATAGAGTCCAGAAATAAGCATTTTCTAATATAGTACAGTGATTTTTAACAAGGGTGTCAAGGCCATTCCATAGGGGAAAGACACTCTTCTACAAATGGTGCTGGGAAAACTGTATCCCCATATGCAAAAAAATGAAGTTGGACTCTTAACTAACACCCTATACAAAAATGAACTACAATGGATTCATGACCTAAATGTAAGATCTAAAACTATAAAACTCTTAGAAGAAAACACAGGGGAAAAGCTGCATGACTTTGAATTTGGCAGTGATTTCTTGGAAATGACAGCAAAGGCACAGACAACAAAAGAAAAAACAGATTGGGCTTCATGAAAAATTAAGAATTTTGTGCATCAAAAGACATAGCAACAGAGTAAAAATGCAACCCATAGAAAGAGAGAAAATATTTGCAAATTATATATCTGTTTAGAAATTAATATCCAGAGTATATAAAGAACTCCTATAAATCAAACATATTAAAAAAAAAACCAAAACAACATGATTAAAAATGAGCAAAGGACTTGAATAGGCATTTCTACAAAGAAGATATACAGATGGCCAATAAGCACATGAAAAGAGATTCAATATCACTAATCAACAGGGAAATGCAAATCAAAACTACAATGAGATACTACCTCACACTAAGTAGGAGGGCTACTATCAAAGAATAGAAAATAGCTAGTGTTGGCAAGGATGTGGAGAAACTGGAGCCCTTGCGCTCTGCTGGTAGGAAGGTATAAGGACACCATACTAATCCATCATGACTTCATTTTAACTATTACATCTACAAAGACTGTGTTTCCAAATACAATCACTGTTATGGGTTAAACTGTATCTCCCCAAACAAATATTTGAAGAGAAAAAAAATCAATGAAACAAGGTTGGTCCCTTGAAAAGATCAACAATATTGACAAAGTTTTAGCTAGACCATCTCAGTCTGTTCAAGCTGCTATAATAAAATACAAGTGGCTTTAAACAACAGAGATTTATTTCTTACAGTTCTAGAGACTAGAAGTCCAAGATCAAGGTGTCACCATAATCAGATGAGGGGCCCCTTCTAGGTTGCAGACTTCTCATTATATCATCGCATGCGTAAGGGGACAGGAATCTCTCTGAAGCCTCTTTTATAAGGGCTTTGATCCTATGACCTAATCACTTCCCAAAGGCCCCACCTCCTAATACCATCACATTTAGCATTAGGATTTAGCACACAAATTTTGAGTGGACCCAAACATTCAGAGCACAGCATAGACTTATAAGGGAAAAAGAAAAAGACGTAAATCACTAAAATCAGAAGTGAAAATGGGGACATTATTACCGAGATCATTAAGATAAAAAAGGATTATAAGAGAATACCCTGAACAGTTACATACCAACAAATTAAATAACCTAGAAGAAATGGACAAATCCCTTGAAATACACAAATTACCTAAACTGATTCAAGAAGAAATAGAAAATCTCAACAGATTTATAACAGGTAAAGAGATTGAATCAGTAGTCAAAAACTTCCCAACAAAGGAAAGTCCTGGACCACATGGCTTCACAGATGAATTTTACCAAATGTTTAAAGAATTAACACGAATCATTCTCAAACTCTTCCAAAAAAACTGAAGAGGAAGGAGCACTTCCTAATTCATCCTATAAGGCCAGCATTACCCTAATGCCAAAGCCAGATAAAGATATCACAAGAAAATAAGATTACAGACCAACTTCCCTTATGAATATAGATGCAAAAATCCTTGATGAGATATTAGCACAATGAATCCAATAACATATTAAAAGAATTACTCACCACAGTCAAGTGAGATTTATCCCAGGAATTCAAGGGTGATTCAACACAAGAATAAGAAAATCAATCAATGTAATACATCACATTAGTAGAATGAAGGAAATAAAACCACATGATTATCTCAACTGGTATAGAAGAGGCATTTCACAGAGTCCAACACTCTTTTATAATTAAAAACTCTCAGAAAAGTAGGAATAAAGGGAAAGTTTCTCAACATGATAAAGGATATTTATGAAAAACCCACAGTTAACATCATATTGAAAGACTGAGAGCTTTCCCCTTAAAATCTGGAATAAGACTAGGATGCCTCCTTTTACTGATGCTATTCAACACTGTACTGAAGTTCTACCCAGAGCAAATATAGTTGAACCTTGAACAAACACTAACCCTCTGAACAGTCAAAAATAACTTTACAGTTGGCCCTCTGTATCCTCAGTTCTGAATCTGCTTGTTACCATTTTATCTTTGTATGTGTGTGTTTTCCCCTCTTGCCCTCTTAGTAAGCTACAAGCCAGATCTCTATTTGGCACTGGACCTTTGTTTCTGTCTTCCCTCTTCTCCAGCTCCAGACAGAACAATTCCAACAATTTCTTTTTCAACCCCAGCTCACTTGAGATTGTCCTAGTAGAATGTGGATTTTGAGGTTTCCAGAGCCATCCTCCTCCTTAGAGCATCTACTTAAATCCACCAGTTTGCACTGCAACAGGCACTCACTTTCACATCTGGTCCTAACGTTGTATGATTCCTGCCCAGTATTCGAGAAAGGATTGTCATTTTTGCTGGGAAAAGGGACTATTGTGGGAGCAGAGACTTGGCTGATCTTCCTTAAAGGTGAAGTCAGAGGAAGGGATCAGTTTGATGAGCTCCCTCCTGAGGGTTAGGACCCAAGCAGAGCTTCCTTGTACGACCTTAGCAGATGCCTGTCCTGTGGCTGACCTTGAAGAACACCTCTCTCCCCAAGTATCCTGTGGCTCCCATAGGCAGGCTTGAGAGCTGCTGGGCATGTGCTAGCAATTGCCTCATCTTCAGCCCTTGCTCTAACGATGCTCTCTCCTCCAGGCAATGGGACTTTCATCTCTTCTCCACTCTTAGCTCTCTGAACGTCCATCTCTGGGGTGTCCTCAGCCATTCTCCCTTGGGCAGGGCAGCTCTGCAGTCTGGACATGGGGGAGGAGAGGCAGTCCTGACCCATCGCCCAATCTTTTGCACCTCAAAGGTAGGCTCAGAATCCAGAGCAAGCAGAGCCTGGAGATCAGGGGCCTGGAATGGTGAGAACCTCAATAAAAATTCAAAATGTCCTGAGTTCCCTGCATTGTTATTTCTTCTCCATTTTGTTTACCCTGGAGCAACCTCTTGAAGGAAAAGCATCTCTGGGCTTTTCTTCAGGGAAGGGAGGATTTGCT